TTCTTTCATTTAACAATGAATGATTGGAGTCCTGATTACAATGTATCTCATAGTCGACTTCAAATTTGATGTATTAGTGTGATTCAATGATACATTTTGTTTTCTCATGTGAGGGCTTATTCGCATGAATGGAAATCTAAATATGTAACATCGATTATCAGTCCATTATGTGCTCTTCTGTGTCATTGTAAAAACTCTTTAGTGGAACACTGAAACAAATATTTTGACTCATCTTAGCGAGCGTCCAATAATTACAGGGTTTATGTTAATAGTTTTATTACTACCAGCATGCTAAACTTTATTTGCAACTTTCTGTTAATTCTCATATTTTTTACCATTCCTAGGTATCCAGTAATCACAGTGTTTATGTTAATTGTTCGTACCTTTCGACACTAAAATTCCTTTTACATGTTGCTCATACTTTTGTGTGTGTGCTTGCTAATGTGCACTTTATAGATGTGTACACCCAGTCCTTTTTTAGGTACTATCTGCACTGCAAACGCCATAATAATCTTCATTGATCTGTTCTCTCTTCTCTCTGCACTGTATTTTTGGGTCTTGATTATGGCTTTCTTTGTATACCTGTTGACATAGGTTAGTGCCTCTTATGAGCAGGCTCTGATGGATGCGAGAAAGCAAATTGAGCGTGAAATGGAACGTTTCAAGATATGCGAAAAAGAAACAAAGACAAAAGCATTCTCAAAAGAAGGCCTTGTCCAACAACCTAAAACGGTGTGCATTGGATCACTGCATGGCTATACTAGCTCTCAATGCATTTCTTACCTTTTCTTGTCTAATTAATTTTTATTACTTTTATTCATCATGGGTTCAGCTGATTGTTACAGAAATTCTGTCAACAAGTGTATTAGCATTAATAAATTCGTCTTGTGGATTACATTTGTGGGTCACTACATGTAAGCAACAGAATGCACTATCTTCTTTTTAATGTTTCTGAATAGGCTGCTTTGGTGTTGTATGGCTGCATTTTACATGAATGTTTTGGCTTGTTTGTTGTTGGCTGGCATTTGCATTTTTTTAACTTTTCATCATGATGTAGGATCCGAAGGAGAAAGCTAAGTCAGAGACACGAGATTGGCTGAATAATGTGGTATGGGGCCTGGAACTTTACATGCATTTGTTTTACCTGGGTTGAGCAATTGTATTCCGATTTCTGTAGCCCTAATAATTTGATTGTTTGGGAAGTGAACATTGAATATCAATTCATGTGCTCCTAATAATCTGATTGTTTGGGAAGTGAAGATGAAGTAGCTATAATCCAAATAAGTCTTGTTTTCCAGTTTATGGTTTGGTTTATTGTTCCAGCTGTCTATCACAAGGGTATCTCTAAACCACATGTAATTTCACGACATTTAAGATGATTTAATTGAACGTTCTAGCAGTGATTATCATGTAAATTGTGATGTAACCTCTCCGCCGACTTCTTAAATAAGCTATCAATAGTTATGAAGTTGTTATGTTCCTGTTGAGTAGGTTAGCGAGCTGGAAAATCAAATAGATAGCTTTGAAGCTGAAATAGAGGGACTTTCTGTTAAGAAAGGGAAGACAAGGCCTCCCAGACTGGTATGATTGAAAAAGAGGCAAGACGTCTGAATCCAATACAAGTTACTTGCACTTGCATTATATAAAAAAAAAATATATTTTTTTTTTCGCAGACGCATCTAGAGACATCCATTGCTCGTCATAAGGCTCATATTATGAAGTTAGAATTAATTCTAAGGCTGTTGGATAATGATGAATTGAGTCCAGAGCAAGTCAATGATGTGAAGGACTTCTTGGATGACTATGTGGAAAGAAATCAGGTCTTAAACAGAGCCAACTATTCTTTTTCCATTTTTTTGTTTTGTCATTGTACCATGTGTGACCAAATTAGTTGACATGATTTATCTTCTCGTTGGGTTTGTTGTTTCTGATTACCAGATGACTATTATCTTTGCTCTCTTGTTTTGATTGTGAAATGTAAGGTTCAAGTGGTTAAAGAGTGGCCTATACTTTCCTTTTGTCATATTACATGCAGGAGGACTTTGATGAATTCAGTGATGTTGATGAGCTCTACATTTCTTTACCTCTAGACAAGGTGGAGTCTCTTGAAGATCTAGTTACTGTTGGTCCTCCTGGTCTTGTAAAGGTGAATACTTGTCCCACAGTTGCTACTTCTCTTTGGCAAATTTTGTTTACTTAGTTTTATATTAGATATTGTGCTCTCTCTATATATGTAAGTATATACGTATATAAACACACACACACTGTGGTGCATGTACACACACATACACACACGCACTTTTATGTACTCCCTCACACATAAATATGTGTGTGTATTATGTATTTTCAATAGGTTTCCAGACATTCCATTTCAATATATTTCCTTGTGGCCATAGTTTTAAATGGCGAGGCGAGGCGACCGGCCCATGGCCTCGCAATTGAGGCGAGGTGATTCGCCATGGCGAGGCCTCGGCTGCACATGCCATCAAAATGTAGAAAAAAATATTATAGATGATTGAAGTGTATATTTATGTTCGAATGAAACACAAGTCCATAGCACAAACACCACTTAGGAAAGTACAAATAAAACATAAAGTTTGGCACACACATAGTTAAATACTAGAAACAAGCAACAAGCCCGTTTTGCACACACATAGTTAAACCCTAGTTTTTGTCTGTGAAAAAAATCTGTTTGACGACCGGCCCGTTTATATTCTTTTAATTTCACATCTTCCCTTTACCTAGTTAAAAAACGTGTTGCATTTTTATTTTATTTTTTATTACAGAGAGGCGCTGAGGCGTGCCTCACAGGCGCCTTGCCACGCAAAAAGGCGAGACGAGGCGACCTGAGGCGGTTGCCTCGGAAACAGGGTCGCCTCAGGCAGTGGTGAGGCGGTTCACCCCTCGCCTCTCGCCGTGGCGACACTATGGAGTCGCCATTATAAACTATGCTTGTGGCAAGGATTTTAATTTATTTTCCATGTCTATGGGGCAGTCACTCTGCCATCATGATATGGTAATTTACACACATGAATAGAGGACAAGTCCTGATTAGACGGTTTGTAATGGTCTCTTTGTGTTATGATGCGGTATTTTTTATACATTTCTACTAACATGAAGAGGAAACATTGGAGTAGATGTTTAATCATTTCCTCTTTTGTTATTTATTTGTTGTGTTCTTGGCAGGGTGTCGGTGGCTCCAGCGCTCCAAGTGTGAAACCATCTTTAACTGCTGCACCTACCCAAGCTCCAGTATGTTCATTTCTCAACTGGGTCGTATACTCCCAATATTCCTTGAATTTCTATTATTATAATGTGAAAAAAGTTATCTTTTATGTTAACCCTTTGATATACATACAACTTTCTCTGAAGCACTTCGCAGATTCCTAAATCCTTGGTCTCCAGGTTAGAAGTATTTGCTCACAAGTTGTTTTGAAATAGTACTTCTTTTGTACAATTAACAGGATGATGAGGACCTTGATTATTTTTTAGATGATTCAGCAAGATTTTGGGCTGGCAGTGCTTCTGCAGAGAAACTTGGTTTATCATAATAACTGGGAAAAAAAGAGCCAGTAAATAAAATGTAAATCTGTATTATTCTTCAGTTCATCTTAGCAAGCGGTGAACTAAAGCTTTTATGTACTTGAAGTGATAAAAAATAGAATTAGTTGCATATAAGATTTCATTTTGCTTGACATGATCAATCCTAATATTGTTGTTGGTGGCTAACTGGCTATAAATTTTCCCTTGATTTTGAGATCTTCGGCTGTTCATTACAGTATAATGCTTGATTGATATCCTGAATGTAGCTTTATATTGGAGTGAGTTTTACTTTGCAAAAAAAAAAGAACTCTTCTCCTAAACACTTAACTGCCTAAATATTTTTTAATATATTGTCGAGACCCTAAAAGTACATGTTGCATTCTGTCACTGCTTGCATTTTTATCAGAAGGATGTGTGTTCTGTACAATTCTTCATGCATGGAGCTGACATGTACACTTGGTTTTAATTAATGACGCCCTTTTAGGCAACTACGTCAGCTTCCATCCAGCAAGTTACTTCAGCTCGGGACCATGCAGATGAAACAACTCTCCAAGACGATGCAGTTGCCAGAACACCACCTCCTAAAAGTAGTTCTCTTAGTTCCTCTGCACCACAAACACCAGCTGCAAGCCATGCAACTCCTGCCACTGCAAGTTGGTCGACAATAACTTTGCTGGTTTCTGACTTCCTTTCTGATCTTTTGTCTTAAGTTACTATTTGTGCTTTTGGAAACTCAGGTGCCACCAGTGTTTCCTCTCCGGTATCTGTTCCGGGTGCTGCAAAGGAAGAGGAAATTACCAACTTCCCTGGACGTAAGCCATCACCGGCTCTTGCTGAAACCGGATTAAGGGCTATTGGTAGAGGTGTCTTTCCTAGTCAATTGACATCTAACGTCCCTGCAAGCTCTGGAAACACAGTTTCCAGCCATGGAGCCATGTCTTTGGCTTCTGAATTCGGAAAGAAAAATATTTTTGTTTCTGATGACCGGAGTAGTGGTATGGCTCAGTCCCCTGTGTCTTCTATAAGTAGTAGAGTAATCTTGCCACAGGCTGCGAAGGCTAGTGATGGACTTGAATCGGTTGATGCTGGAGTTGTTGGCGATGCTGCAACTCTGGGCAGCAGAGTTTTCACTTCTCCTGTGGTTCCGGGTATTCAATGGAGACCTGGAAGTTCCTTCCAGAACCAGAACGAGGCAGTACGTCAGTTGTTCTGTTTCCTTATTGTTTAATAAGTTTAGGTTTGTGAGTGCTTCTATGTGTAGTGCTGTTGGTGCAACTTCCATAAAATTCTTCAATTTAAAGATTATAAAAACAAAAGGGTTGTCTTTTTTGCGCATCTTTGCAATTTCAAAGGTATAAGTTCTGTGATATGCTTTTGGCAGATAATCTACTCTTTATGCTTCTTGTTCTGTTCATGTTGGCCCAATTAATTCACTATTTTCCCCATTTGAAAATGAGTTGATTATCTGTATCTCTAGGGGCAGTTTCGTGGAAGAACTGAGATTGCTCCTGATCAAAGGGAGAAATTTCTACAACGATTTCAGCAGGTACAGCAGCAAGGCCAGACTAATCTTCTTAATATGCCTTCTCTTGCTGGAGGGAAGCAGTTTTCTGCTCAGCCACAGAACCTACTCTTACAGCAGGTGCTATTTCCTAATTTTTTTCATTTTCACTTTGGGTATCTGAATGAAGCCCAAGGTCATAATGCTAGGTTAACAGATTTTGGTGCATCTCTGGGTAAATAAGTAGCTGTTCAGATAATTTATATAAGTACTCTTATGGGGGTAGAACCTAACTTGTCGATAATGTAAACTTTGTGTTGGTTTGGGCTGTGGTCTGTGTAAGGGAAACTCCAGTTGCAATCTGCTTTGTGATGTCCTGTGGTATTAGCATACTCCTCGTCCTCTCAGGATCCCTCACTTCCACGATAACAGGAAAAGAAAAATAATGGGACTAAGAGTGGTTATAATCTTGTACCTTGTATATCCCATTTACTTGTAACTACTTCAATGTTCATTTAAGTGCTAGAAAAGGAGAAAAAAACCTGTAGAAAGGCTCTAATGGTGGGTGGGAAACTATTATATTCTGATATTCTCTGTTTGCTATGTCATATTTTGTAGAATATTATGATCGCTTTCCCACTTGTTTAGTAAATTGAAACTTATTTTCATTTGTTGTAACCCCTCTCAGTTCAATGCTCAAAGCACATCTCTCTCTCCTCAACTTGGGTTGGGGATTGGACTCCAAACTTCAGGTCTTAACGGTGTTGCAACATCTGCTTCGCTGCAGCCGCAGACAAGTGCAACCCACCAACCATCAAATCAGCAGCCAATCATATTGCAAACATCCAAGGATGCAGGTAATGTTGTTCGGTGACACCTCTTTTGGATCTGTTTGATTGATATATACGCTACGGGTATGCTGAACCCTGGAATACTCCTTAATATTAATTTTTTCACTGACATGAATCGAGAACGTTACATAATTAAGGAAATTTGTGTGATACTTTAGAACTAGCCTTTTGAGCGTTATTGAGTTTAATTACAGTTGCCTCCATTTTGCAAGAGGATGTAGGAGGATGTCTGTTAGGTAATTGCATAATTGAAGGGGGTGTTTGTAACAATATCATGCGGTATCTGCAATTGCAGAAGAAAACTTGGGGGGTTTTCATTTGAAAATGATTTCAAATCTAGCCTTTCGTGTTACTACTTCTAATGACGGACAAATTTTGTAAGGTTGCGTATAATAATTGAAATTGTATGTTTTTGTAGCACATGATGTATCAGTAAATATTAGACATCTCCTAATGTAATTTTCTGGTTTCATAACTCAAATACCCAATGGCCAAATCTTTGTACATGGACAGAAACTGGGCTCACAAAAGTTGAGGAATTGCTGCAGCAACAGCCCATCATTGAAGATGCATCCGCAGATTCTGGTTCCAACACTGGGCCTGGGGAAAACCTTGTGCAAGAAGATAAACTGAAAACTTCTTATCCTTTAGATAACGCGGTATGTACAAGTTTTTTATTGTGCTTCCTCCGTGTTTTTGTAAAATCATTCGACGGCTAATTTGGAAGGTTGGAGGTGTAAACTTATTATTTGGGTTGATTGGTGTATGGAATGTTTGATCGCTTAAACTTTGTATCCATGGTGTGTGCACCTTTTGTGCCCTCTAATCCACCCATTCATCAGCACTTTGATAAGGCACTGTAGGATGAAGATAACTGCATGAATGATTATTGGACTTCTCAATAATCCATCCAGTAATCTTAGTTTCATTGTGTTTCAGTCAATTTATGTTTTCAGTATAGTCATTTTATTCAGTCTTTGTACAGTATATGGAACCTGTTTTATGTTTTGCAATATTACAAGCAGGCCGCTGTTGCTGCTGGTTCGCTTGCTGAACCTTTACAAGTGATACGGGAAACAGACCTATCCCCAGGGCAACCTTTACAGCCAACTTCATCTTCTGGAAGCCTTGGCTTTATTGGTCGACGAAGTGTATCTGACCTTGGTGCTATTGGAGATAGCATCAGCGCTTCAACTGCAAATTCTGGAGGAATGCATGATCAGTTATACAATTTGCAGATGCTCGAGGGGGCTTATTATAGACTTCCTCAACCTAAAGATTCTGAGAGAGCAAGGACCTATACTCCAGTAAGCAGCTCAGAGAGCATAGTTTGTTTCTCTAACTATTTATTTTCTTCACTATTTCAATGCTGGCTTTGGCAATGCACAGAGGCACCCTGCAGTCACCCCTCCAAGTTATCCTCAAGTACAGGCACCTATTGTCAATAATCCAGCCTTCTGGGAGCGGCTAGGTGCAGATACTTATGGCACAGATACACTGTTCTTTTCATTTTATTATCAACAGGTTATTTAAAAGTTTTTTCCTCTTTACTTGCGTATTCTGCATCTTGTAGTAATCCAGTGTTCGTGGTCTTGTTCTGATGCTGACACTAATGTGCAGAATACTTACCAGCAATATTTGGCTGCTAAGGAATTGAAAAGGCAGTCTTGGAGATACCACAGAAAATACAACACATGGTTCCAACGGCATGAGGAGCCGAAAGTTGCCACAGATGATTTTGAACAGGGGACTTATGTTTACTTTGATTTCCACATTTCCAACGATGAACAACACGGATGGTATGGCTTCTTATCTCCAAGCTTCATTTTCCTGTAACTCCATCTTTGCAACTACCCTTCCAGACATCCAGTCATGGACTGAATATGCTTACTTTTTTTATTTCTCTACCCACCTTTTCTTAATCGACACATTTGCATGCCCTATTTTGGACTGGTAAATCTTGATGGGCCATTATTCCTGTTTACTTATACACCATTATTATTTGAAACTGTTAAGATATCGTGGCAACTTATGTTAAGAATTTTACAGTGTACTAATCCGTATCCATTAGGCTGTGGAAATGGTTTAATTTTAGGAAGTTAATTATCAGTTAACTAACTGGACTGATGGCATCTCCACTATGTTGACTTGCTGTTTTCATTTACATGTGATTTAAACTCCTACCTAATGGTGCTTTTATCTAATTTAAATGTTGTCCCTGATTTTTTTTTTTTTTAGTGATTGTGTCGTCTTCAAGTTTTGAACTTGTGTAATTTATGACCTTGTTATTATGCGCTTGGCAGTTTAGTCATTCAATTACCAGTGTATATTCACTGGCAACTACACTTTATTAACTCCAACTGGTAGTTCATGTGTTTCTGATTATTGACTGTTTGATGCTTTCACGCAGGTGTCAGAGAATCAAGACAGAGTTTACATTTGAATACAGTTATCTTGAAGATGATTTGATCGTATAAAAGTTTCCCCTCGTAATAAACCATGTCTACCCTTCTGCTGGTGTCTCCCCTATCGCGATTCAGTTCTAAAATTCTTCCAGATATCACCATCTTGTTAAGTGACATTTGTAGTGTGCACTGCAAATGTCATAAGTTAGCATTACCTAATCCGCAGTTTGGTGCCTCTGGTTTTATCCTGACATTTATGAAATAAGTTGGACTTCAAGAGTTGTAGTTTGCTTGTTACTAGTTATCTCAGGCTTTGACATCTTCTGTACAATTCAGTTACATAGTTCACATTTTTCTAAACATCTTGTTTTTGTTGCTACTATAAGGCAACAGACCATTTTGTTTTCAAACCACGACATCCGCAATTTGATAATTTCTTAATAAACCCTCCAGCACGAAATTGTAATAGTCATGAAAGAAAGCCAACCTTAACAGACATGAAACCCGTGCAAAAACAAACGAACTATGCTCATAAACACAATCTTACACATAAAATTCTTAACAAATCAAGCTCAAACAGTAATTATTTTAGTGAAACAAAATGTTAATGAATCCCAACTCAACTCCATTTGATTTGTTTACAACCCAATAAAAATTTCAAGTTCAACAGAGGTTCTTGGCCATCCCCAATGAAGTTGAACAAGCAACAGTTTAATATAGAGTTCATGATTTCAATATAATTTGTTTCTCTCTTCCCAAAGTTTTAAAGCAACTCCATCCCACTGCTATTACTCTCCAGACTCATAGAATGGTTCCCATCAAGGAACTACACTTTCTAACAATTGTTCCACTTGAGCTCTTTGATATGCAAACGTTCCACTTTAGCACTTGAATTCACTGGGCTCATTGATCTGCAAATGTTCCACTGGCACTTGAATTTGAACTGATAGCATTGCCAATCATATGGTGATAAATCAAACTGGTAGCACAACAAAGGACACCAACAAAGAAGAGAATGTTACAAGTCAGAAGATTTCTTATTTTCAGATCAGAGAAGAAAAGGAAATTTTAAAGCTAGATCATCTCGTATAGAAGTTAAATAACAAGAATCAATGTGTTTGCATTTACAATGGAACATTATGTACATATAATAGAATGTTCTATTCATCAAAAAATAGAGAGAATATTCTCACTAATAGACCATTCTGCATAATTTCTTTGTACCTATAGAGCTTTAGCATGCATACAATTTGTACAAAACAGTGAACCAAATCTCATTTGCAACTATATATGGCCCTACAATTACATACCTCGAAAGAGAAGGGTGGAGATGCTAACCTTGTCTGCAGGTAAAGCCAAGATTTTGTCTAACCCAACTCACCCCAATGGCGCACAAGTCTTTGAACTCAGTGTTATCAACCAAGAATGCAGTCAATGTTAAACAGCAAACAATAATTTGTGGGAATGATATAATAAGTTCTAACTCCTGCTGAATGATTTAAATTTAAGGTACAGTAAAAAAGCACAAAGCCAAGATATTGTTTACAACCCCAACTCACCCAAATCACCCCATCTCACCCCCAAATCAGCAAAATTTTTCGAATTCAATATTAAACAGCGAAGATAGCATTTTTTTTAACAATGAATAACTTGGAATGAAATTACAAATTGATGCTATTAGAGCAAACATTCCGTATGCGTTTCAAATCCAGCTGTAGTGAGTTTTCGAATTCAAAGGAGATAAAATGCTGTGAATTGAAATTATATAACGAGTCTACCACTAAATGAATTGAGATTGTGGAAGTCACTACTCACTAGAACTTCCACATCTTTTAGGGATCGGATGTCTCTACGGTGAGTCTATAAACAACAGACATCTACTGCAATGCAATATCAGTGGTTGGATACATTAAAAATATATCTAATGGTCAAGAACTTTATTTCTTATAAAATTAGACAACACTTAAAAAAAGAAAAAGAAATATATTGGCACAAAAACAACAAACTAATAGTTTTCATCTTTCCCTTCCAACACAGTCATAATTATTCAGTCANCACTAAATTAAAGAGTCCATAATTATTAGATTTTTTCTAACAAATAAAAATGTTCCTACTTTATCACCGTTGTCAATCATCACCAAGGACACTAAATTTTACCACTGATAAAACACTCAAAAAAAATTAAAAATTCAAAAATGTGAAATTACCAAGAAATAAAGAAATTAACCACACGAATTAAATTAGTGAAAGATGTAATAGAAAATAAATTGAAAACAGATACAAAAACAAATAACAATGTCTGTCAAAAAATTAATGATATAATAATAAAATAAGAATCAAATAATTCATTCATGGAAATGCGGATTTTTTACGGGGGTGTTATTACTTTTTTCACATGTAAATTTTGTTTTGGCCAAAATTTGTGGCCATTGGATTTTAGAGTTTTCGGAACCAAAAGAGAAGTAAATTAAATAAACGGAAAGAAGATAAAACAGTAAGTTTTCAATAGAAAAGCCCGCGGAGCCATCATCGCCGCCGCATCAATTGGCGGAAGGCTCCGGCGGCAGGCAGTCTTCATAGCAGTAGAAGCAGAGAAAGATTGACGGCTGGTTAACGGCGACAAACCAATTCAGTGAACAGAAATGAAAATTGGAGCCTCCGGCAGCCGATAACGGAGGGTGGCATCCTCTGATCATCTTCACAGTCGCTGAAAATTGGTTCCGACCCCATTACCAGATCCACCTTCCCACCGCCATCTCTGCTCAGATAAGATCAAGTAGTGTTTTTGAGGAGGCCTATCGAGCCTCTCGTATTTATAGTCTTCCCATATTTCCTTCGCGGTCTCTTTTCCAAATTCCAGAAATACCCTTTCAGATTCTCCACCACAATTATATCCCCAGGGCATTTACGTAAAGTAAAAAGTATTGCTTTGGCGTGAAAACCCTAGCCCTAATCCCTAATCAGTCCGTGTCCCAACCCGGAGTCTCTCCCATTTGCTCCTCTCTCCTCCCTCAGGTGAGTACTTTTCGTGTATGTGTTTATATGCTGTTAACTCATATAACTTGCGATCATAATTCCTTTATATGGAGCTGGATTTTGCCTCTTTATTTTAACATAACAAGCTTCACGAAAGAGTTGTGACACCATTTAAAGAAAGTTACTGTGATAAAGCCGTCTCTTGGTAGGTTTTTCAAAACTTGAGTCTTTCAGGTATGTGCATGTATTCATGATGCCTAAAAATTAAAATTTTCAGAACATTTATTATAGTTGAAGATGAGGATCCTGTTTTATATTGTGCTTCCTTTACTAAAGTTCTCTCTCATACTGTGAACACAAGAAAGACACAGGAGCTTCTTTGATATATTTTGTGTAAATATGTGCTGGCATGGCCAGCAGACACTGATAATATACAATGCAATTTAAGCAGAATTTTCTGCGGCTATCTGTTTTAGTTCTTTCTTAAACAAATTTATGTCTTATTCTGATATTTTTTCCATATTTCCCTTTCCTCCCACAAATATTTCCTTATTTTCTTTCCTGCTGATTCTCATGTGTCCCCACATTCCAGACATTACATTCTTATTTTGTTTCAAGGTTGTTATAATGGCAGAGCCCTCAAAAGTCATTCATGTTCGTAACGTGGGTCATGAAATCTCAGAGGTATAATATCTTCATTGACCATTGAGGATGTCATAAATATTTCAGAATTCGAAAAGAGTCTTTTTAATTTCCATATCTTGTTGCCATCCTGGTATGAAAGGTAATGTGGTCAATTAACTTGGAAATCTAAAATTTTAATTTATAAAATATAAATACTTTGATCATATTACTCTTTCATATTATATCTAATGCTGACAACGTTCAAGCATCAATGTTTTTTGATAGAGTTTATTGGTTGCATGGCATCCTAAGTACAAAGTTTGATAATTTGTGTTCATCTTCAGAATGACTTGCTCCAGCTTTTCCAGCCATATGGGGGGGTCAACAAGCTTGTTATGCTTCGAGCAAAAAACCAGGTTATTTTCTTAAAGATATGTCATAGGAGTTGTACAATGTGATCATTCATAAATGTGCACTGATGTTGCTTATATCATAATTGCAGGCTCTCGTCCAAATGCAAGATATTCCTGCAGCAGTAAATGCATTGCAATTTTATGCTAATGTTCAGCCGAGTATAAGGTTTCTGGATAGATGATACTGCTTTTACATTTCAGCTTTTCAGCTATATTATGAGAGTACTACTTTCATGTTTTTGGCATTATCTAATCTGTTATTGGAATTTTTTACTGGAAGGGGACGGAATGTTTATGTTCAGTTTTCATCACATCAAGAACTAACAATTATGGATCAGAATGCTCAGGCACGAGGAGACGAGGTAACTATTATGGACTTGTCGGTTTTATGTTAGCTTCAATCATTCTTATGCAACGAGCTGTAGTTACTTTGGTAAATGTGGATATTACACGTAATATATACAAGTTAGATGTATATAATCAAAGTCTAAAAGTTTTAAATATTTAAGATCCATTCTAGAAGATAATGACAACATAGATAAGGATATAACACATAGAATTCAATCGGGTTGGAACAAGTGGAGGGAGCGCGTCGTCGATACTTTGTGATCGTAAATTTGCAGTGAGTTTGAAGGGCAAGTTTTATCGAACAGCCGTTCGACCGACGATGCTTTATGGATCCGATTGTTGGGCTACTAAATATGAAAATGATAAAAAACGTGCATACTAGAGGAGATGGAATGTTGAGATGGATGTGTGGGTATACTAGGTTAGATAAGATTAGAAACGAAAGTATTAGAAATAAAGTTGGGGTAGCACCCATATAGAGGAGAAAATGAGAGAATCACGATTAAGATGGTTTGGGCATGTGCATAGGAGAGACTTCGAGGCACGAGAAGAAGGTAGAAACATTATATTTAAGAACGCAAATTAAAAGGGGGAGGGGTAGACCTAAGAAAACTTGGAAGGAGAATAAAAAATTATTTAAAATATTTAAATTTGAATGAGGATATGTGCTTTGATCGAGAACGAGGCAACATGTGATCCATATAGCCGACCCCATTTAGTGGGACTTTAACGGCTTTCACTTTGATTGATTGATATACAAGTTAGATGTAAAATAAAATGGAAATTTGGGGTATAAGATGTTATGATGAAATCCAGTCTATATTCCTACTTTCTCTTGTTTGCCATAGTTCTTAGTTCTGAACCTGTAGAACTGGCTCCTTCCTTCATTTCTTTTTCTCTTTTTACTATATCTGTACCATAAATAAACCCACTTAATCGAATGTATTGGACATTTGTCAATTATTTTGTCTGTTAATTTAGTCATTTGTCTTATTAGACTACCTAGCTTATATATAAAGAGGAAGAACTCTATAAATTGATTTTTAAAAGTTTCCGTCTTTTTCCTTTCTGCATGTGTAAATTGTGTTGAATTATATTTGAACTTTAGAATTTGTCTTGAATCCCTTTTCTATATTTGTGTCACACAGGCAAATTAAGTAAAACAATGCAAATATAAAGTGCTAAGAACATCCAAACATTAAGCATATGGCATAAAAGAATTTGAAATATTTAACAGCTTCCTCTTTTTCTTTTTCTTTTTTTTTTCTTTTTCCTTTTCTCTTGAATGAGTCTTGCATCATTTTTCTTTGGTGATTGGAAATCATCAACCTTTTTATTCCATTCTTGACTTGATGTGGTAACTTTTTTTTTTTTAATTTAAATTTGGTTGTTGCATGTGTTCTTATTTTGGCTCATAAGAGAGGTTTCATGATGTGATGATACATCTCTCCTGAGGCCCTCGATTTCATGCTCTTTGTATACGTATTGTTGTGTGTTTCCATTTTGAGTGATTGCTTACTGCCTATTCTAGTTCCATCTATCCGTTTTCGTTTGTCTTTCTGTATTCTTTTCTATTCATTTCCTTCTCCTCTCTCTGCTGTCTCTGTGCTGGTTTGCTGTTGGGATCTTCTCTCTCTGTTCTGTGTGTATGCTGGTCTGCTGTTCGGCTGTCTCTGGATATCAAGCCTAACCGAATCCTTTTAGTTACAATACATCACATGCTCTATCCTATAACTGTGGAAGTGCTGCATCAAGTTTTTTCTCCTCATGGGTTGGTAGAGAAGATTGTCACCTTTCAGAAGTCGGCTGGTCAGCATCTCCAAATTTTCTCCACTTTCTTTCTTAATTTTGATTCTGGTTGAGGTTACAAAGAATGTGTAGACATAGTGTCCACCTTTATGCTTGCGAGTCTTTCACTTCCATCATTGTAATTGGTGTATTATTTTTGCTGTTTGTTTCCATGTATGTGATCAAATTCTCTGACCTAGTCTATGAAATGCATTATCATTGGGTTTTACTGCTACTCTCATACTGCAACTTGTGTAGGTTTTCAAGCTCTTATTCAGTATCAATTGCATCAGAGTGCTATTTCTGCTAGAAACTGTCTGCAGGTATACTTAGTGTTGAACTGTTATTTTGGCTCAGTTGTCAGACATTGAGACCAAGTTTTAACCAAGTCTTAATTTACAGGGACGTAATATTTATGATGGTTGCTGCCAGCTAGACATTCAATTCTCAAAGTGAGTTAATTTAAAGTAGTTTGGTGCATTTACATATTTACTATATTTTGCATTTCTTCTTGCTATTATCTTGTAGTCACCGAGACTTTTCTTTCTCCAGCCTTGATGAATTGCAAGTGAACTACAATAATGAGCGCTCTAGGTATGTAACAGGTGAAATGTCCTGTTGTTTCATTTGTGTGGTGCATTTAGGATTGCTAATTTCGTTCTCTTCTCGGTTCAGGGACTTTACAAACCCTTCCTTGCCTTCAGAACAGAGGGGCAAATCCTCTCAAGTAAATGAGAACTTCTCTTGCACAATATGACATTGTTTAGCTTTTCCGGTCATTGAGACTTTTCTGATTCTGTATGCCAATTTTGTTCCTTTATGACAGCCTGCGTATGGAGATGCAAGCATGTATGCTCATGCAGGTGCTTAATTAACATATTATTATTGCTTATGGGTGTTGGTTCCTCTTTATCCTTATTAAACTTTCTGACCTCTTTCTCTCTGTCTATCTCTCTCTTTCTCTAGTTGGATTCCCTCAGGTGCGTTCCTTGCTGTATGTTAGTGCTCAAACTGATGTAACATTCTGTAACGCCTCGTCACAATCAACCATACCAAGGGCATGATGCAATTCCTAATTGAGTGGCAACGTCACTTTTTCAATTTTCTCTTCAAGTAATTTATCATGGCAAATTTTAATTTTATAATCATTGCTGGTAAACATTTATGTCGTTGCAGTCATTTCTTTGCAGATATGACTACTCATTTTGCTCATCTTTTGCATATGAAGCACGAAATAGTAGACACACTAGTCTGTTTTGTTTGATCGGACATAGGTTGTGTAATGTTCCGTTTATTGAAACGAGGAAGGGTAGACATAGATTAAGTAACATTTACTAGTGTCTATTGTTCAATCAGAATCATAAACTATTGAGGGGTTGCATGTATGGTATATATAGTTTATTTTCTCATCTGTCTTATTTCCTCCTATTCAAAAGTTGCCACTTGGGTGAACTCATTTTGCACTATTTTGAATACACACTCTTCAAATTGTTGCTTATTTTGCCAAGAAGTGAGCTACTTTCTTAAGGGACTTCTATCTTTTGAAAATCTGAAAAAGGCATAACATTGATTTACACTCGATAACTAAAAAAAAAGGGCAAATTCTTCATTTAATGATTCACCTACGCGTGATACTGATCTTAGCAAGGGGCTGACCCTCTCCGTGTTTTTTTGATAAACTCATTCGAGAATTCTTCTTGTGTCGTCTTTAATTGTAGATGGGCAATGCAGCTGCTATTGCTGCTGCATTTGGGGGAAGCTTGCCACCTGGTATAACTGGTGCAAATGATAGGTGCACTATTCTTGTATCTAATTTGAATCCTGATGTAAGGTTCAATCTGTTACTCATCAACCCAACCCCCGATTTTGTAGAAATCAACATTGAAACTTTGCTCAAATGTTGCTCACTCCTATGCTACATTATTTTGTTTTTGGCAGAGAATAGATGAGGATAAGCTTTTCAATCTGTTCTCAATATATGGGAATATTGTTAGAGTCAAACTGCTTCGGAATAAACCAGATCATGCGTTGGTACAAATGGGTGATGGCTTTCAGGCGGAGTTGGCTGTGCACTTTCTAAAGGTTAAATGGCTTTTTTGTATTTCTGCTGGTTTAATGTTTTTTTCCTGCTATATATAATCTGAAATAACGGTCCGTGTATANAAATGTGAAAAAAAAAAAAAAAAGGAAGTGTACTAGTAGCAAACACCTTTGAAGTTTTAATGCCAGAAGATACTCTTGCTGTCCACAAATTCTCAGTTGGACATACTCTTACAATCATCCCCCAGACATTAATTAAAGTCGGTGAAAATGGGAAACATGCTGGAGTTGAATGATCATAACTTATTTGATAGTTGCTGCTGTAGTTCGTTGAAATTAGGGTGCCTTTGAATAGTGTATGTTTCCTTTTGCTGATTAGAATAAATTTATGGCACTTTTCAATATAGGGTGCCATGCTGTTTGGAAAGCGTTTGGAGGTGAATTTCTCAAAGCATCCGAAGATAACTACTGGAGCGGATACCCATGAGTACCTCAATTCAAATCTTAACCGTTTCAACCGAAATGCAGCCAAGAATTACCGTTATTGTTGTTCGCCAACCAAAATGATCCACATCTCCACTCTCCCACAGGATGTTACTGAGGAGGACATAATAAATCACCTGGAAGAGCATGGAACAATTGTTAATACTAAACTCTTTGAGATGAACGGAAAGAAGCAGGCTCTCGTCCTTTTTGAAAATGAGGAGCAGGCTACAGAAGCACTTGTGTGCAAGCATGCTACTTCCCTTGGCGGCTCAATCATTCGCATTTCCTTCTCTCAGTTACAAACCATATGAGTGATGGAATTGAAAAGAGGTGGGGAGACTTTGACCATATTATTTTTGTTCACAAACCAGAACCCAATTCTTGCTTGTGTTTTATGTTTTTACCATCCATCCGTCCTTCCTCCATACATGTACGACGAGTTCTCCTTGCAAATTATTCCTGCCTCTTCATAGTTTGGAAATAACTGAATCGTGTACGAAGTTTGCCACATTAGTCTCTGTGATACGTCTCTTTTTATGTCTTTAAATTATGAAGATTAAATAGACTGCTTCAATTTTGATTTTCGTATATTCTTGCATCAAGTGTATTTACACAGGTGTTGGAAATGGATGATCTAATCATATAATTTTCTGATTCTTGGTTAGGACATTGTGAACCTGCCTTTTTCGTCATGCTCTATCAGAAATAACTGGCTGCGGATTGCACTGTGTGCATACAGTGACTACACTGTAATTCTGTAACCGATTTTCGTTAATTTAGTTTCTTGTCCTTTTTGAATTTTGTAATTTCATGCTATCACTGACTTTATACATTAGAACTGTCTTTATCGTGACATTATCTTTAGTAAACATGTCCATTTTGTTTTGGTACAGAGGATCGACTGAATGTTTTGGTATTGAGGATCGAACTTTAACATTGAGATCAGATACTTTGAGGAAGTCAATCAACTTTTAAAAATGAATGATGCTAACAAGTAATAAGTGAAACTTTAGAACATGTCCAGTATTGAAGAGAAGTTGGGGGAATAATTATTTTAATAGCTATGTAATGTAATGGTAACATCATTGTTGTGTTAAGTCAACATTCTCCAGTGTGAGTGAGATGAGAAGTTGCATAGGTTTTTCTTGTGTAATTTGCTAAACTTAATGTAAATGGAAATAAAAATTCTCGTGCTGAGTTGCTTAGATAGACCATGGTACTAACTATTTCAGCGCCGACATTTTCTTCTCATGATTTCGTATGCTATGACAATCAATAAGAGCTAATGTCAGTTTTTGTCGCACATCTACTTACAACTAAAGAGCCCTATATTCAGTCATGAGTAGTTGTACGCAGCTCTTTTCAGAGTCACGACTTAGAAGAGTTTGAAAATAATGATTTGTAGTGATGAAGGATTTGAAAATAATGATTTGTAGTGATGAGAATCTTGACGTTAAGATAACTACGAATGTTGTATATAAAGAAATATTTAATAATATTTAAATATATTTTTTAAAATTATTTTTTTTTCATTGATTAAGTTATAATTTTTATTTTTTTCAATATTGTTTATTACATTCTCCTCTACTATATTGTTTTCCGTGCGGAATAAAACTAGTTGGTATTTTAAAAGTGTGACATAAATAATTAATGGCAGATTGCGGATTTCCTGTGTAAAATGAATAACTACAACATTAAGAAGAAATACTTTTATTAAGTATATTTATATAAAATATTGGTCTATATAATGGACTTAATGTGAATAATTAATTATTAACTTAGTAACAATGGATTGGTTTAACAGGAAAATATGCGTGGAGAGCAAAAATAAAGTGGACCATCGCAAGTCACGACGCAACTCCAGATTGTCATGCAGACCGTTAAAACCTTGGCACAAACACAAAGTATAGCATGTACAATCAATACAAACCAGTTCAACGCAAGAAGTTCAACAAAATTTAGCCAGACAAAATGGGACCAAATGAAAAGGATTTCTGTTCTGAGAAACATAGGACATCTAATCCTCATTATCCATCCCTGCAGGCGGGTCCCTCTTTGGACCTCCAGCTGGTTTTGACATAATGATCTGCACGAGGTAAAGAACAAACAATTAACCTTTAAACACAAGAAAATAATACCTACCAACATGCAGTATTTGTTTGAGTGCAACACAGATTTTCGAGCGAACAGATGATGAGCAAAGTGTAAAGTCAAAGACCCGCGTGCGCTCATAAACGAAAATATTCATGCTAAAGGAACGCTATAACAAATCGAATTTCTTATCAATATAACGTTGAAAATGACATGACTCTGTAACTGATGGCTGATTACCTGATCAACCCGCAGGACAGTGCATGCAGCATCAGTTGCATACTTAAGAGCAAAGAATCTGCCAAAAGCACAATATACATAAAAGGCCATTGTAAACCGAAAGTGCACCTATATTGCCATTAGCATTATACTGGAATTTTTAATTAATATGCCTGATGCTGCCCATTTTGAAATATTTTAATGAGCAGAGTATCATCAATCACAATCCATTTCCTTTATTCAAATAGATATCTTAACCAACTGCTCAAAGAATAAATACAGTAACAGATTTGAGAGCTTTATGGATTAAAATGAACAGATAAGGTAGGGGAAATTAAGATGTGATACAGTCGAGGCAGAGTGTAACAGGTCGGTTTATACCATTCACATGCATTTATAACCAACAAAAAACCACCAAGAAATATTTTACGCAACAAAAGACAAGACAATCGAAAAAATATCATATTAATCCACATTCACAAGAAGCTACATACTTGGTGATGTGGAGATCCCATATTTTCATGGTAGAAACATCCTTGCAGACACCTTCCTCCAAGTCAATGCCCACTTTGGTGTTACCCAGTGCGTGTTCGGCATATAAAGAAGAGATAATTTCTATCGCATTAAGTCCCGCATTCTCCGCCAATGTTTTGGGTATCATTTCAAAACTTTCAGCAAATTTTGCGATGGCATACTGATCCAATCTGGAATATAACATCAACTTTGTCTTAGGCACACAAGATTCAATTATATTGTATGAAGAAAAGAATGAATAAAAACGGAAAGAATGATTCAAAAAGGAAACGGTGCATGATTAGTGAAAATCATATACTGTAAACAAAGACATGGAATAAATACCCTGTTTCTTTGAAAGAAAATTCCTTCAGCCTTCTGGCTAACTCAATTTCAGTAGCTGCTGCTCCAGGTACAATCCGACTATCTCTGCACATTGCCTGGGAGAAAATAACGCAATAATGACAATGATATCTTCGACCACCAGATTATAAAACTAGATTTCAAGCTTGGACAATGCAACATCTGAAAATCAGCACCAAGTGGAAACTAACAAAATTCATAAGAATATACCTTGTATGTATTCACTCCATCATCTATTGCTCTTTCAAGGTCATCCAATATGCTATCAGTGCTACCTCGCAGCACAACAGTGGAAACTGAATTTCCACCTTGTTCATTTTTTACAATTGTGACCTATTGGACATAAAATAAAAATAAAAATAAAAATAAAAAAAGTCCCGATGTCACTGACAAAAAAGCAGAAGGCGTAAAAAATCGGGTTTTAATAATCAATATATAAGGCAACAGTGTTCGTCATACCCTGGCCCCGCCTATTTCTTCCACTGAAACAGAATCAACATATCCAAGATCATCTGGATGGGGCTGACTGAGCTTTAACTGTCCCCACAAAAAGAGCAGACGTCAGGATAAATAAAAGTACCATACGCTTTTTAATCCAAGTCGATCTCTCAAGCTTACCAGACCAACAGCACCAGTCGTGCGACAAAATCGTCGTAATTCAAATTTGGAGCTAATTTTTAGCACCATGAGCCTACAAAACAATGTTTCAGGTTATTAAATAGCAAATAAAAAAAAAAATCCATACGAGTTCATAATGATGAACTGTCAAAGAACTTCAAGACATGTTAATACAATGCCATAATAACGATAAGAGTATATGGACAAGATAACGATGTCAACGAAACCAGATTTAGCAACTAGAAAATAATTTGATCTGTGATACTTAAAGCATGCATTTGTTCAATCGACTATTATACACTACGTCATGGAACTCTTGTCGAATCACATCGACTAATTACTAATTAGGGTATAAGTATTCAGAATTCCAAAGAACAAGCCCAAAATTGAGGATGTAAATGGTGAAATTAAAATGATGAAGGCATGACTTAAGAGCAATAATCATCTTATATGTATTTGAACTTAGAAGAGGCAACAACAGACTTGTCAAGCAACATTTACAGACTTTGAACATGAAGAGGCACTAATTGATTGACCAAATTCTCCATTAAAAAAAAAAACTATTAACTATTTACTAATATGCTGTTGGCCGTATCTAATACAATTTTAGGTAAACCACAGCACTCATTACAAAAAGAACCATAACTAGAATGAAGAACATAGAAAAGGAGCATAGAAAACCACTGAGTCTAAAGGCAACGATATTGTACTTGTAGCGCTCACAAAAATGCAATGCCATTTCTCCAACAGCTGCTCCACTAACTATAATCTTTGCACCAGAATCTGCAACTGCTTTGATTAGCTCCTCAACCTTAGCTTCTTCAGTCTTTGCATAATTCTCAAGCTACAAAGTGAAACAATGTGTAACATACTTCAAAACTACACATGCACTGGGAACATATTCTGAATTTAACCAGAGTGAGTTCATGAATATACCTGCTCAGCACTGTGAATAAGAACAGTTCCCTTTGTTTCTGTAGCAGTTGTGTCAACACCCCCAGCAAATACAGCAACCTGACACAGTGAACAAAATGAATATGTGATTTTCATAATATCCACCAACACAGAATAGAGCAATTATGTGGCAACCTATTAGAAAAAAAGACACTCCATATAACAAGGGTTCCAATGTAGTGATTTGTTACTTCTCTATTATATCCACATACTCCAATTCCCTCTTACCAAACTGCTGAACTTTTTATAAATTTACTTCTACGGTTTCAGGGTTCACCTTACTTTATGCATAAATAAGATAGGAACTCTATACAGTGTACAAGCAATCACCACTTTTGACTATTTGGATAACCTGACATTCACAGTTCCAAGAACACAGAGGCTTTCCAAGATATCTCAGCATGAAAGTAGCATTATATGATAGGCCAAGCACATATAGTCATCCTCTATACAAGCAAGACAATAATAAAAAACCACTCGTGCAGCTGCCAATTTGCGTGATTACGGAACTCACCTTGGCATTTTCAATTCTTTTTATCGTCCCAACAGCATCACTCTTTAACACCATACCCCGAACTACTTTGGAATCATGCAGACCTCCACCCAGTAGTTTTGCAACTCGCACATTATCCACATTGAAATTTGCTGGGTTCTTGGGGCAAACTTGTATGCATGCCTTCAAAAGAAAACGCAGTTCCAGTCAGCCCAATCAAGATGTAGGTTAAAAGCTGTGTGGAAAAGGTGAATTTACCTCAGCAATGAGAGGGCATAATTTATCCTCCTGACCAAATTGTTTGCTGGCTACTGAAGATTTCATTCGTGAAATTACTTCATCTTTGTCTCTCACATTCATACTTTCTGAACCTTCTTCAACCAATTCCTCCAGTACTCTAATGGTCTGCCATGACATGATGGTGGTGAGAAGGAAATCAGCTAAGAAAAGGTCATGCACTCTCGAATACTGTTCTAAATAAGTAGAAATGGCGTTCAAAGTGTCAAACTCAAACCTCATTAATTGCTTTTGTATATCCAACTCTGATCTCACTTGGGTGCAATCCCATCCTAATGAGCTCCTCTGCATTCTGAAGAAGTTCCCCGGCAAAAGAAACAGTCAAATTCGCTCCATCACCAATTTCCTCTTGTTGGGCTTTCCCAGCCAAAACCAGAAGTTTGGCAGCAGGATGCTGAACCTCCAGCTCATTTACAATTGTTGCAGCATCATTTGTGACAAAAAGCTTATCCAAATGATTGATAACCATCTTATTCATACCTTAACAAGAAAAGAAGAGTACATCAAAAGGGTAAAATTAAAAAGATAAAAAAAAAAAGTTCTAAAAAATTTTCTACTTTGTAACCAACTTAACTAAATCAGGTTGTGAAATCTTATTTGGAGTACAATGTATACAAAAAAACTTTATCTCCTTGGGGAATAAAGGCATCATCAATATACTTATATATAACACTATCAATGATCAAGTCAAACTACATTAGATCTGATCATACATATCTTAATCTTCAAAGTACTCAGGGGACTCATAGTACATATTGCGTGTGTGCAAAACTAGTCTAGGCTTCACAGTAGCTAAGAATCAATCACAAGTCATAAGCTTCTACTAGACTTCTTTAACTAAGTAATATCACATCTGCCCAAAAGAAAACACCCTTACTACTTTTGTAACATCGAAAGAGACGTGTGAACCAATGCTTAAAAAAGATCAGCGGCTGAGGGGCACATACAAGATCGTAATGAGTTGGAGTTGGGCCAGATATCCCAAATAGACTACTAAAAAATGAAACTTGAGACGGTGTCAGGCTCGTTACATCGAGTGACTATCCGATTGAAGCTAAACATACGTACACTAGAAAACCCAAAAAGGAAAATAAACACAAAGAGGTAAAGAAAATGAAAGAAAGATGGAAAGAAACCATTGGGGCCGAGGGAGGTGCGAGTAATGGTGGAAAGCTGCTTGCAGGCGTCGATGTTCTTGAGCACGGCCTCGTCGAGCCCGGACAAATGCCGGTGGCCCTCTTTCAGCATCGATTGAATCCCGTATGGCTGCATCGAGAACCCTACCATCCTGTCCAAGATCGAGAGCTGAGCCTCCAAAACAAATCAGGTTCTTCTTCTTCGAGCAAAGTGAGTACAGAGTATAGTTGCTGAGCAAGTGAAGTGAGATGCGTTGAGGAGAATGGAGATGAGAAAGCCCTAGCAAACCCTTGGCCCAATATAGCTTCTTCGCTTATACTAGCTACTCCTTTTCAAAACTTTAAAACAATTTTTCTCACTCAAGATAAAGTTAAAAAACAAAACTTATTTACCATTCTTTCAATATATAATTTCAGAATAGGTTAAGTCTATATGACAAACTCTTACGTTTCGAAATCTTTTTGCCAATTTTTCTCACTCAAGATAAAGTTAAAAAACAAAACTTATTTACCATTCTTTCTATATATAATTTCAGAATAGGCTAAGCCTATATGGCAAACTCTTACGTTTCGAAATCTTATTTGACAAAAAAATCATGCTTCGCTTGGATATAAATTAATATTTTTTAGCACACTAAATTCATAATTGATATTTTGCTTCTTTAATTCTACAATTAGATACCATAAATTATTTTATATTTCTTTTTCCTATATTACCATACATTACATTTCATTTTCTTATTTAATGCATTCATTAGTTATTATAAATATTTTTTCTTCTTATTTTTAAGTTTTTATAACTTTTTTGTTTGTATTTTATTTTTTATATATGATATATCAAATTAACTATCTTTTCACGATTTTTGATTTGACATCCATATTATATATATAATACAAAATAGTAATATATATTCTTATAAATAAAATTTAAGTTTATTTATCAAACTAAATTTAAAGATATCAAATAAAACCATAAATTATATTATAAAGTGAAAAAATTCAATATGAGTTGACATTTTCATTTAATATACGGGTGTTTAATTATTATGATTAAAAAAATATAATTTGACAATTTAATTAAAACCCAAAGGAATGTTTTATATAAAATTAAATTATTTTAGTTTAAAAAAATTAATATTTTTCATATATGCTTCCTAAGTCAACACCCGTGTATTTACACGGGTATTGTACTCGTGTAAATTAAAGTGCTTAGACAAATGTTTTTTTTTTTTCTTATTTTTTCAAGAAAAAGTTACTAAAAATTATAGATTTGAGAATAATTGGATCAAAACTTCTAAATTAATTATTTTTGGACTAAGCATTTTGATTTAAAAAACTAAATTTAAAAGTTATTTTTTTGAAATAAATAACTAGTATATAACCCGTGCAATGCACTAGGCTATAACGATATATTCTATAAATTATAGCAATAAAAAAATATTGATTGGTACACAAATAGTTTTGAATACTAATATTATTTTTTATATTCTTTATGATGTATAATAGTTTAATATATGATTTGTATATTTATTTCACTCGTCATAAATGTTGATAACCGACCTGATTGGCCTAATCAGAGGATGCCACGTGGGGAAATCTACCTTAGAACCCGATTAAGTGTCGAAGATTGGAAGAGAGACCGATCTGGTAGAGCTCAGCGCGAACCGGAAGGGGGACCGACCTCTTCGATGGAACGAGGACCGACCTCCGTGAAGAACCGAGATCATGCAGGATAAAAGATAGGTGGAACGCCTGTAAATCAGCCGCCCATACCTCCATCATTGCTAGTGGGACCGCCTGCGGGCTAGATGCCCTTAGGCCATTAAATCACATTTAATGCCGCTGAACAAGTCTAAAAAGACGAGCCTGGGATTACTATAAAGTTATCAGACGTAAATGTGTGGTCGTCTAAGCAGTTTAATATGAAAGACTTAGGTGAAGCAGGACACATTCTTGGTATTAGGGTCATTCGAGACCGTAAGAAGAGAATGTTGTGCTTATCCCCGTGTTTGAGACACATTCGTGGACTTAGAGGTGATTCGAGTTTGCCACGTATTATCATCGTGTACTGTGATAACAGTGGAGCAGTAGCGAACTCAAGGGAACCACGAGCCCACAGAGCAAGCAAACACATAGGGCGCAAATACCATCTGATACGAGATATCGTTGGTAGAGGAGACGTTGATGTTACCAAGATTGCATCAGAGGACAACCTAGCTGGTCCTTTCACGAAGAGTTTGTCAGGGAAGGTCTTCGTCAAACACGTGGAAGGAATGGGATTCAGGTGTATGGCGATAGGATCAACATAGGTCTTTTACAATAATGGATTGATATGACTACACTTGTAAAAGCGAAAGCTTTAAGTATAAGTCGGAGATTGTTAGTGTTATATACTAAAAGCTTGGGTTTGGATGATATTACACTTTTGCCCTTTATGAATGAGAATCATGTTAGATTAAACAAGTTATGTGTTATGTTGTTTTGCACTTAGATAGAATGGGTCATCATCGGGTGAACAGAAGATCATTCTATCAGTCACTTGTGAAACAAGAATTATGGTTCACAACCTAGATGGAAATGAACACTCAATCAAAACGGTTATAGTGTGAACGGTATAGTTGGTCTTGACTGATTAGTTGCACTAGTACATTTATGTATTGAACAGGATCCCAGAGAGGAGAAGTTCGTTTTATACTGATCGTTGTAAACGAACTAGGCCTCAGTTAATTACTGAATTCTCTTAACCTGTAAGATATTAAACAGACATATATATACAGTACATATTACTTTGATTCACTTGGGTGAGGTTCAGTTCACTGGATCAATATTCTTACTATCTTGGATAATATTGTTGTATGTATGATGTGCTGTTAGGATATTTACGGTCACCATGTGCGTTACTTTGATTATGTCCCCGAAGTGAGTTTATGAAAGATTGTTATGCTAAACCCTGCAGGCGAATTAAATTCTGGCATAACAATAATGTGATGAACGAGCGCTAGTTTTGGTAATAAAATATATTAATTAATTCTTGATTGTCAGTAATCGAATTAATTAATGGACATTATATCTTAAACATGGAGAGGTAAATCGGGTAATTATTATTGGAGTCTCAAATGTAATTTCGGAAAGGAAAAGAGAGTGCAATAATATTATGTTAGTGGACCGTAATATTACTTAAGTAATTGGAGGAGTGGACCTGACCCACAGTTAGTCCATTGCTTAAGAAACCCTATTTCTATTCTCCTAAGGATCCCTACAGTAGCTCTATACATACATCATTAAGCTTATGAAAAGACAATAGATGTGCATTAACGTGATACATGCACGCCACCCATACTCTCTCTCTCTCTAGATCTCATTCGAGATTTATCTTCTTTTTTGTTGCTCCACCGATACAAGTTGAAGAGGTGAACGAGTGATACAGTAGAAGATCCCGTGGTAATTGAGACCCCGTGATCATACCACAGCACCACACGACCGCCGTCATCTGCCTCCATGTGATCCCGACTTCCTCGTGACGTGCGGTTCTCGGTCATCCCGAATCCGACAGATTTAGAAAATTTCAAGCCGTAGGTTTTCTACGTCAAATCTTTAGATCCGCTTTGCATAGGTTTATGTTTGCTATTGAATTCGTGACTTGTATATAACGAGATCCTCATATATCCCAACAATTGATCACATCGAGAAGTGGCAAGTTAACATTGACTTTCGAGAGCATATTATAAAGGTCTCGAAACTTCTTCTCATGCTTCTTGTCCCGAAGACGGCTCCGAAGAGGAACACGCGGTTTGTAAGGATTTGGGGATTTATGCAGCATTGGTTTGTTTGTTGACTCCATGGAATTAATTTGTGCTCTCGTTTTCTTTGGTTTCCTTCTCTTCCCTCGAATTGTTCGTCGGCTTCTAGTTGGGAAGGCTTGGCATCTACACTTGATTGTCGACCACCTTCTCGCTTCTCAACACCTTTATTGCCTTGGCCTCCTTGGGTTGACTATGTTGGGTTGCCTGTACCATACGGGTGATTTGCAGCGGAATAAAATTTTTTAAAACAAGTATTTATCATATAAATACTCAACCCGTAAATACATAAAGCGAATAGACAGATCGTCATCATTTAAAAACATGTATAAATACAAATTTTTGATTTGAAGATAGTTTCGAAGTTACCTTAACTTGAACTCCTTCAACTTTGATGATGATAGAGGAAATCAATTCCCGGTTTAGTAACGATCAATTCTTCTTGTTACTCACTTTAGGAATCCAATCGTCTTTCCTCTAATAGTATCCACCTTTTGAAATCCGACTCCGAAAGATAATTTCTTCGCTAGTAGAAATTACTCGGTTTTTCAATAAGTATAGGAATATTTGTTTATGAGGAGTTTTACAGGAACTGTTCTTGTTTTTAGAGAGATTATAATTTTTCTTATCTTTCTCAAAATTTTCAAGACTTAAATTTTTCTTACAAACTTAGCAATTATGAACATCAAGTATGTCCATACTTATACTAAAAATTTAGGTATAAAATATTGATGTCTTGAATAACTTTCACAAGAAATGTAATGAAATTCAACTTAAAATATTTATGTCTTGAATAACTTTTACAAAAAATGTTAAAAAGTCTTGTATCACTTTTACAAGTTAATACAAGAATAATTAATGTGATGTGGGATCCCATCCCCATCCATTATTTTATTATTATTATTATTTAATCTTTAATATTAATTAAAAATTAATAATAATAATAAACAAATAATTTTAAACTCTTTCAAAATTATTTGTAAATATATTTTCTCCCATAAAATCTCCTCATTTAATAATCATATTATTATTTGAATTTGAATTTTAAAATCCAACTATAAATTTAGTAATTCCATTAATTACTTAATTAATATCCAAAATAAAATTAATCAATCCAATTCATTAATTTAGTATATTCTTTTAATTGACGTCTAATCAAAATTAGATTTGTCAATTAATTTTAACTTTTTAGAAATACTAATTTCATTTTGCCTTCATTCAAAAATTGGTGTGACCTTTTAGGTTCACTATTAATACTAGTAGTGGGTTTACAACTCTTTGTAATTTGAATTAATCTAATTAATTCTTATTCATGAAATTAACTCCTTAATTTCAAGAACCCACATATCATGGGAACATCTAGCAAGTAACATGAATCTAGTATTAAGTGAATAGCGAGTAAAACTTTTCGATTACAAATCCATACATGTAATATCCTTTCGACATCCACTTTCCCGATTAAATCTTGGGTATGAATTTATAAGTCGAAACCCAATTGATTTAATAACTATGATTCCATTTCAAGTTTAGTAATTCGTGTATGAATCTCTATTCAT